GTCCTCGTCAAGGGCCCCATGGATTTACACAATTTTACAGTACATAATTTTCTTAAATTTTTAACATTAGAATTTAGAATACAAAAAAAATTGCTCTAGAAATTTGCTGAACATCTCTTGAGATGTTGGGACCCTTGCATATGCACTGCTGGGGTCCTCTTTAAAAAACATTTGCTCTTCTACCCGGTCTCTTTCCATTCTCCCATGGGAGAAGGAGGAGGAGGAGGAGGAGGAGGAGGAGGAGGAGGAGGAGAACTGCAGTCTCCGACGGGAACGCCAGGAAGATTATCCTAGTCAGAATGTACATAGACAAACTGCATGTCTACAAACAGACGATGTTCTTCCTGGTCATCAGCACGCCCAGGTACATTCTGATATCGGCAATCTCCAGAAACTGTCTGGGCATGGCAGCGTGGAAACATCAGCATTTTCGCGCACAGTGTGCACCCTATTTGGTACTTCAAAGATCAAACGGATTCAAACCCTTTTCCTTTTTTCGTGACCCTTCCTCTACTCCCCCCCACCCCTCCCCCCCCCCTTCCCCTCTCTCACAATGACCCACTGAGCTATAGCTTGAATTAAAAAAGAAAAAAAGAAAAAAAGAAAAAAGCCTTCCTCTTACCGTCTCGTCGTCATCGAAAAGCCTGAATGCCTTCATGATTTCCTCCTTGGAATCTCTCTCCCCCATTTTGGCTGTCATCATCGTCAGAAACTCCTCGAAGTCGATCGTCCCACTTCCGTCTTTGTCGATGTCGGCAATCATTTTCTTTATCTCTTCCTTTTTCGGCTCAAAGCCCAGTGCTCTGCAACAGCAGCAGCGCCAAAATGGGCAGTTGTGTACAGCAGCAGCAGCAGCAAATCATCAATCATCAATCTTCTTCGCATGCCCCTTCCCCTTTGCCGTTCCAGTGCATTCCAGGTTGTCTTTTTACTTTGTCTTCGACTTTTGTACTTGACATTTCGAAATTTTGAAATCTATACCTGATTCTACAGACAACAATAGAGAGCAGAATAGATATTTCCACAGCCCCACCTCCATCCGTGAAGGCATCATGGGATATATATATGACGATATATAGCCCCTCGTTTGTTGTCCTCTTCTCTCTCTCTCTGCCTACGGTTTACCAGGCAGTTCTGTTTGCGACGATATATACTACGACTTCGCTAGCTTCCTGCTACGGTTTTTTCCGGTCAGGTCGAGCGTCAGTGGTCGGGGCCGTTACTAGGCGGCCATGCTGTGCCTCTAGTGCCAGCGGCGTGTCTGGAGTGTATTTTTTGGCTGTGACAGACCTTTCTTTGTTTCGTGGATGTTTTGCTGGCTTGTGATGGG